ATTTATTTGACAGAGAGAGAGAGAGCACAAGCAGGGGAGTGGCAGGCAGAGGCAGAGGGAGAAGCAGGCTCCCCGCAGAGCAGGGGGAGCCTGATGTGGGACTCAATCCCAGGACCCTGGGATCATGACCTGAGCTGAAGGCAGTCGCTTAACCAACTGAGCCACCCAGGCGCCCCTGTGAGCCCCATTCTGCCCCACCTTCAGGAACCTACCTTCCAGTGCCCGAACCTGGGGCTCACTCCGGGGCCCTTGCAGATGACAAGAGTGCACAGAGCGGTCACCACGAGGGGCTGTCACCAGCACAGCAAAGAGTTTTAGAAACGGTCAAGATTACCTGGGATGACGACACGGTGATGTGATAGAATTTTCCTTGTCCCCCCTGTGGGATGGCTCGGACAAAGAAGAACTTTCGGCCATCCTTGGAGAACACCGGTTCTTCATTCTGTGGATGAAAGCAAAGGACGTAGTCTATAAAAAGGCTTCATTTTGAAGAGGTTGACCATGACAAAATACATTTTGAGATCCATTTTCTATGTAATTTCTAATGAGAGATCCGGTGGGAAGAATAAACGGTGGGTGGGGCCTTTCCTCTCCTTGGGACTCACGAGTCAAACCTATCTTCTAGGAGAAGAGGAAGATTGAGGAATTAAGCAGAGACAGAGAAAAACATCCTTTGTTAGAGAAGCATCCATAGAGCGGACTTGTGTGCGCATAGGCTGACGGGACAGAGTTGGCTGTGGGTGCGGGAAGCTCAGTGAAAGCCCAGCGCAGGGCAGGGCAGGACTTCTCAGGGAGGGGAGGGGATTTATCATCCATCGTGAAGAACGTGGTTCTGAACACTCACAAATCTGATTTTGCCTAAACATGAATTCTACACGTTCGGTCCTGTCTTTTGTTCTTTTATTTCATAAAACCTATCTCACACCAAATAGCCCACCAGGGTGACAAGTAAAAAGAGAAGGACAAATTTCGCACATTCTAAGATGCAGGTGCAGGGAACAGTCCTTTCAGGGACCTCTAACACACACAGGCGTGTGCTGGGATCCGCCACCACTTTTCCCTGGAAAGAAATCAGCATTCCCAGCTCTCCTTGGGGGAAGGAAGTCCAGGCTGGATTCAAAGCCGAGACCTGCAGCGCGTTGCCCTCATCTCTGCATGGCCCCCCAACGCCGAGCAGTCACAGCTCAGCCCCGCCGGCCCCAGGGTCCGGCTAACCCTCGATGGGGAAAAGGCATTTGTTACGGCGGCACCTCGGCATCTCTGGAGCTCCAGCCTGGAAGTTTCCATCCGTGAACGCCAATTAGTTGGCTACGATACATATTTTCTGATTCAAGGAGCTCCACGCTAATGCGGGCTGAGAACAAATGGTAAATAAGCCCCAGTTGGTGCCAGGAGCACACATTTCCCTGCAATGAGTGAATGCGTACCCGCAAATGCGATGCGCCCAGAGAAATAAACTAACGTGATTAAAATGACATTTAATCTTCATGAATATTTGCAATAAAATGAAACCTTTAATCTGCAAATATTTATTTTTCTAGTTAGAGCTGGCAGCGTGGTATTTAAAAGCAGAGGGAATGGGAAAGCGAGAGGTGACTTTGGCTTTTTAAATGTCCTTCTATTTGCCAACCGCGGGACGGATACTGCAATATTGCCTCGGTTTTCTGGGGGAAATGTTTGCACTTTTGGCAGAGAAAAATACTCTGAATGAAAGTAATAAATAATTAATTTTGGCCAGATGCTTTGCTGTTACACTGAAAAGGCCCTCATCATTTTGATGTCATCTTTACACTGATGAGGGAGGGCTCTGCACCAGCCCCGAGCCTCTCGGAGACCTGGTTTCTTGGGCAGTAAATGTATTCTCAGTGAGAAAGCGCAATGGTTTTTGAGGAAGGGATCCAGATGTTAATCCTGCTTCTGACTCTCCTGGGTTTTGGGGGAAGCGTTTTAGTCTCTCTGCGTTAACAGGGAGTCTCTTGTGCACCAGGCCTAAGTCTCTCCATGCCACTCGCAGCAGATCAGTGAAGAAGGAGATTCGTCGTGAGTTATCTGTATCGTGTTTGCCAATTCCTTCCAGAGAGTGGTTCAGATACACTCACCTTGCCCAATCTCCCAGCCTGGATTCTGAAATCACAAAACCAAAATTCTGGTAAAAGAAGAAAGACTGTCAGATGTTGGCCCATAGGCCAACCCTTCAACCAGAGGATGGGTTCTGGGACTCTACACTAAATCCCCATGGATCTGCATCAGGATGACACTGCAAGGTCATGGCTGGTGGTGATGGAATATGTGTGTGTGTGTGGGGTGGGGGGGCTGCCTATTCTTCTGGAATATTCCTAGAAGAGAGAGAACTGGGTAGACCTCCACCTGTGGGACACACACACACTCGTCTCCTTTTGTTGGCTCATGGAGATCCCCGTGGGGTCCATGCAGCAGCCTCGGGAAGGACAGGGGAGGAAAAGAGAGGGGATGGAAGCTCAGGTCTGCTCCAGCCCACCCCTGTTTGCCTGGCAGCCAGGGATCAGAAGACCGTTGATCCAAGCAGACTGGGTCTCCCGAGGTCGATGGGACGTCCCACACTGTTCTCTCCAGGATACGGTGCCCTGCTCGGTGAGCAGACAGCTGTCAGCCTTGAACACATTCCTAACTCACCCTCCAGAACCTCATGGTATCTTGAGGGATTCAGAAAGGCTACAGATTGAGGGTGCCTGGGTGGCTCAGTCGGTTAAGCGACTGCCTTCGGCTCGGGTCATGATCCTGGAGTCCCGGGATCGAGTCCCGCGTCGGGCTCCCTGCTCAGTGGGGAGTCTGCTTCTCCCTCTGACCCTCCCCTCTCTCATGTACTCTCTCTCATTCTCGCTCTCTCAAATGAATAAA